TCCCCCTGGGTACACAGTAAAGAGACAACAGGTTTGGAACTATAGCATGGATGTATATAAGCCTGAACTCTTCAGCACATCCTGCTGTGTCTGGAACAGGGTCTGCCCGTCTCTGTTTGAACACTCACCAGCATCTCTCTAAGTTGCGTATGGCCGCTCATCCCTACACTCCTTTCTACACAGCCTGCGTTTTGCGGTTAATACCAAGGTGCTGACCCTGGCAAAGCAGCCAGGTATTGTGGAGAAGAGCCTTCCCTATTGCTAGCCAGCCATTAAACTCTTGGAAATGTTTTCAGTTTCAGTTTATTTGAAATGGTCAGGAAAGAATTGTTTCTGTTCTCTTTCATTTTTTTCCTGCAGAATTGCATTATTTCTGAGCACAATAGCATTTAGTGCTTACTTACCTAACTTTTCCTTTTAAATCCTCAATTGCCATTAGATAAAATAATGAACCAAGTTACTTATTCCTAAAGATAATGTAAATATTTGTTCTCCACTGTATTCCAGTAAAATAATGTTGTCATGCATTATTGGTAGTAAATTATTTTAAGTTATACATTTAAAAGTAAACAAAGCCATTTACATGAAAATATGTTAGATCATTTTTCATGAAGCATCTTATTCTTTCCTTTTATCATTGTTGGTATGAAATATGAAATCTTAATGCTTGTACTTTGATTTTCATTTTCTCCTTATTTTATTTCTATTGCAAATGCTCTCTACTGAGGCTTTATAAACAGTTTTCCACATTCACTGTTCCCCTTGTCTTCCCAGTCTGGCCTGATTCTGATAATATCATTTATATGTTGTCATTAATAGTGGTCCACTGAGTGAATTATAATTCTGTTGTTTATGTTCTGTTAACATTTGGCTGTTGAAATGTAGCTGGGGAGGAGGGAAGGGCATACAGTCTCAAAAAACCCCCTTTTTTTCCAAAGTTGTAGAAGCTGTTTGCTAGTCTAAGAGAAAATAAAGGAAAAATGGATGTTCTTTATTTTCCAGTGTACAGTTTATCTCAAAAGCAGATTTTCTATTTGATAGAAATGTTGTGAGACATTACTCCCAAGTGTCAACTAGATCCTATGTACATATAGAGTATATAAAGAACCAGGATATTTTGCACCTATATTAATAATTTTTCCACAAAAACAAAAGGTAAGATATTTTAGCACATGTATCCTGCTCCAATTGATGGCAGAGCTTTTCCTCAGCCGCAGTGATCACACAAATTCCTAGCCTACTTTCTTTAATATAGGGTGCCTTTATGACATAAGCTGTAATAGATCCTTCAGGATGTTTCATAGACAATTTTTTTTCTTTCTGAAGGGATGGAGGCACAAGCTTAAACAAGTGGCAAGATCTTGAACAGCTTGAGTAATTAAAAACTAATTAAAAATGGGGGACCATAATTTCCTAAGTGCTGATACTTTTTCCTCTTTAAAGAAAAAAAGAAATTCTGTAAGTTACAAACATGTAATTTCTTTCTTATTCCGAGAATTCAGAATAAATTTTGTTATGATATCACAGGTCTCCAGGACCTTGCTCTTCCCCCTGCTTAACTTCCCTGAGCCTCCAGCAATACACCTCCAAGACACTAGTGCTATCAGAAGGTTGAAATCTCCGAGATGTGTCTTTCAATAGTTTGTTTTAAGATTCTTTAGGACAGCAAGTGTGTAAATATGGTGCAAAATCTGAGGCACAAAACGCAAGAGGTTTCTGCTTCCTCACAGTATGTCTCGGTTTAGAATAATGCTTCATGCTATGTGCTGCAGCTCAAAACAGAAGATATATATAGATATTTAAACTTACCTACCTATGGTTATGTTTCTAAATACATTTCAGGCTTTTAGAGTGCAGACCTATTGACTTTTGTAGGAGGTGCTGAACTCCTTAGATAAAGATAAACTCTTAGCAACCTAAATTTAGGCACCTCATTTTAAAAAAAACTTTGGCCCGGATATGTGAACCCAAAAGAATGAGTTACAATAATTCAGTTCAAATTCCCAGGTTCTTGCGGCTCCACAGACTTTGCATTTATTCATACGAATTGCTCACTGTTGCAGAGAAATCACAAAATGTAGCCAATGCCATAACTCTGCACCTGAGCATTACTTAGTTGTCCTTTGCTAATGTTGGCAGCATTTTGCCTTTCCCCTATATGTTACAGCACCTGGCTATTTTGGGTTTGTCTGAATATGTTAGAGGTATGAACAGGGAGAAAATTTACCAGTTTTAGCCCTCGCTTTCATTACTACTAGCTTTCCTAATAGCTGCGATTCCCCAATTAAGTGGTCAGTTTAATTTTCCTGCCAGCTTAAAAGAAGCGCAAGGGAGATAATTACCAAAGGAAACAACTTTTCACTGCGTGCTTAGGAGAGGATTATCTTGTCAGAAGCGTTGTCTCTAGTGGTTCTCATCTTCTTTGACACCAGGGATAGTTAATTTCCCATAATGCTGTTTATGATGATGATGATGATAAGTGCTGTGTCCTATCTGTGCTGATTTTTCTCTTTTGACTTTGTCACTTTGTTTAGAGCAGGGCGGCAATAAATGAGGTGGCAGATGCTCTCTGTTAACCCCCGCCCTCCCCACCAGGGAAGGGAAAAAGGAGGAAAAGGGAGAGAGACTTACAAATTTGATATTAAAACAGCTTTACTAATAATACTACTAGTAAGGGAAAATACTGCAAAATGTATAAAACCAATATTGAGTTTCCTGGACTGGAGTAGATGGGAACTGGACTTAGGAATGAATGGATCGGAATCTGGATCAGGATCGCTGGCAGGACAAGGAGCAGTGTCCTCTTCAGAAGGCAGCCATGGATGAAGAGAGCGAGACCCTCGTGATCCCGCAGCTTTAAATTGAGTAGGATGTGCATGGCATGGAATACCACGTTGGTCAATATCGGGTCACCTGTCCTGTCTGCCCCTCCCAGCAAGTACGACCCTTTACAACTCCTCACTTGCGGGACCTAAAAGATCTATCGGTGATCTTGGCTGCTGTAGGAATAATTATAAGCATGGGCCTTTTCTGCATTCCATTCCTACTATTAGCTCAGCAAAGCTACAAAGATCAGGTGTTATCAGCTCTGGAGCAGACACTGTCTGAAAAATGTGCAGACAACTTCAGAAAAATGTAGCTACTTAGAAGAACTAGCTGAAGAACTTGGCTGAAATGAAAATTCACTAAAAGGGAATTGGTTCTGTTTTAACCAAAACCATGACAGATTTCTTTGTGATTTCTCTTTTGGATTTTTTGTCTCCTAAAGGAGTATTTCACCTTGTGGACATGAGAAATAAATTGAGATATGTGGGTTGCCTACAATTTTCTCTTAGGTTTGTGTAGGCTGCACAAATGAGTAAAGTTTTAAAATGCAATTACTTAGGCAAGTAATTTATACTTGGTTTATTTAGGGTTTTTTTGGGGGTTTTTTGGTTTGTGTTTTTTTTTTTTAAACAGTATAAGAGTAAAGTGTTGGTGTTGGCTATTTAGCCAGTTCTTGGTATGTTTTTTTTTTTTTTTGCTGGGATGAAATAACAACATTCCCTTTGCCTATATTAAGGATGGATAACTTGTCACTTCATTGCAGCCTTATAAGTCATGGGTGTTTATTCTAAGCCAGTCATCTCTAGTCAGTGTCGTGAGAGAAGGTGATTCATCCCATCTAATGCTAAATATCCGAGAGACTTATTATGCAAATGTGTTCTGGAGAGGAAGGTGGTTGATGATGTTCCTGCTAAGCCCAGTGTCGCAGTCTACAGAGTTTCTCTGTAGCGGTGCAAGTTTTTTTGAGGCAACTCACAACGAACAGGGAATGGAAATTATCCAGATTAAAAACCAGCAACTGGAAGGATTTTTTTCATCTATATTTATTTTTTTAACAAGGTTCATTTCAGTGATTCATAGGGCCATTTATAACACAGTGGTAAGAATATATATTCAAGAAATGGGGGCATATTGGCACAGAAGAAAGAAGTGGTTGGAGGCAGGGACATTCAAAGATTTGTGTAATGAACTGCCTCCGGAGATACATGTGTGCCCTGGGACTGTCCTGTTTTATTAGGTGAGATGAATCCACAATAGTTGTTTAACCATGCGTTAAGCAGGACATTAGCAATATCATTATCACTGTAGTGTACACCTCTCGATGCTTGATATTGCTTTATTAAACTATAAAATATCTTGAAGTGAGCTTATCTATGTCAAACAAAGGGAGCAGTTAGAAGCTTCTATGTACATTGTGAAATCCTTCCATGGAGGTCCTCAGTACTAGCAGTGCTGTTTGTGCTAGCAGTCTTTCCCAATTTTGACATCTTGGTGAACCAGGAGGGTTGTGTGTATATGGATAAACATGCTGTCCAATGAGATGGGCTGTTTCTTTGTAATAAGTAGTGATTATACAAGGCCACATCAGGAAGCCAGAAAAAGTGTCCATGCAAATCATAAATTTTCTTTGGTCTTACGTAAATCTGAAGAGAGGATGACTTATATGAACTTCACTTGAGTGTCTCAGAGTGGTATTTTTCATTAAATAGGTTAGCTAACAGTTAAACTCTCAGAGTTGTAATGAGGCAGAGGCAGTGTGTTTTGGGAAGCATATTGAGAAGTAACCCAGCCTGCTAGGATGTATTAGATATATCATACACAAGTTAAATGTCATGAACTGCATGTTCTGTATGCAGTCGTTCAGCATAGGATCCATTATCATGCAGATGTACCACCCTGTTCCAATATACTTTTGTGGTACATCTAGGGAGTATCTTCATGGTACAGGGTACTTTGGTTCAGATACTGATGTCGGAGAAATATGACTACCACCGATAAGATACCATTCCATGAAGCAGCAATGGAAGAGATGAAAAGAACTGTACTGAAACAATGCCAATGGCAATGAAAGCTATCAAAATCAGCTTTATAGTACCTTTTTTGTAAGTTTTTTTCTGAAATATATGTCATAAGTTTTATTTATTTTATTATTGTATTTCTTTTTATTTTTGTAGGCTGTGGAAACCAACCTTGCATCAAAGGATAGTCACTGGGTCTATGTAAATGAGGTAAGAAAGTCAAAAGAGACAACATAGCTTGGTACATTCGCTCATCACTGTCTTGTTTCATGTGTTTTGACACACCAAACTGAGCATACTCTTAGCATTTTTGCTTTTTGAATGGTGCAAAATGCAAACTTTGTGGTGTGGTTTCTTGTCTGTCTCAGCTGAACTGGCATAGGGTGAATATCAAAGGTCAAAAACAAAGCTTCCAATATATCTCATAGCAGCTGGGACACTTTATTTTTACCTTCATGTCAACCCAACTTCATTAGCTATTTAGGAAGCAAAGAACATCTCGAAAGAAATACATGCATCTGTATCTGCCAGAATCTCACCGTTCACTGCTATGAAAGCCTGCACTCAGATACCAGGAGAGCAAAGAGGGCTGAGGCTGGTTGTAAGCTTAGCTTATTCAAATATGCATTTACTTGATAGGTGGGTTTTCTCTAGTCTAGAATTGTGTTGGTGTTTTGGGCAAGATCCAGGATAGCATAGATTTAAAACACAATATTTCTTCTCTGCAGCAAATGGTATCCTGTCTTTGCTACTATGATTATTTATTTTGCCTTAGTACCACGATGCCCTGATGGGAATCAGTGCTGGCTCGTATTTAAAAAGCAATGGAAAGCTTGAAATGTTGTGCTATATATATTAATTTATAAATCACCGATTGTTCAGGATAAATGGCACTATTTTACACATTTCTGTTTTTAATAATGATTCGTTAAAAGATAGTAAAACATCTAAGTTAGAAAGAACCGTGTTCACTGTTTTATTTTTATATTATAAATTTATAGCCTCTAATTTAATAATCAGTCCCTTTGTTAATTTCTCATTACTTTCTTTGCACCTAGCTAATAATTTTGGATAAGCTACTGTTAGTAGTAACTATAAATTCTATTGCATGGCATTAGAAAGGCTCCATAATTAAATAGGGGTTAGGGGAAGCAAGTGAAATCTCTGTTTATAAAGGCTTTATAAATTCTTTCTAGTCCTTGTTACATTTAAGCACCTCCTGATTTGTCAGCTGCAGTAATGACCCACTACAAAATATCAGCCAGATGCCCAGAGAGTCAGTGTTTATATTCACAATAAAGATAATACAGTGCATATTTCCCTAAACATTTATAGAGAGGGAGTGTTTGTGAATTTGTTATTGCTGCTGTTATTCTTCAGATGTTAAAACTCACTTCATGAAGCCTGAATCTGTAACATCACAAATAAAAACCTTCAGTACTCACACAAACATGTGCATGCAGACACATACACAAACAAATCACACAGGGCGTCAATTCTGATTTTATTTTGGGAACTTTAATTTTTTCTCTTTCACAGCTAAACACTGGGCAGAGAAGTTATGCTAGCAAAATGTAAATCTAAAGTCTAGCTTTTTAGTGAAAAATATTAGTGCTCATACTTATAAATATCTCAAAATGCAATTAAATTCAAACAGACAATTACAGAAATTTTTCAAATTCATGAGACTTTGGAGAACTCTGCAGGAAAAAAGAGGAGGAACTGTCTTGATTATCCTTTTTTTTAACAGAAAGTTGTTGGTCTTTATGTACTTAAAGATACTGTGAAAAGAAGATGCATTAAGCATCCACATGGATGCATCTGTACAAAGATGGAGGTTCCTTAGGGCTTGCTTCTTACTTAGCAGTGTGCATACCCCTGTGCTAGCAAGAGGATAGATTGATTATGCTTTGAACGTACATGTTTCCAGTTGCTATCAGTGAGAACTGCGTGGGTACTTGATGGAAAAAAAGTTATTCCTTGACTGGATGGTGATTGGTGCTGTGATTTGCAGAACAGAATTAACTTTTAATTCCCAACAGTCAAACCAGCTCTTTTTGATGTAATCCACGTAAGTAGTAAGTCAGATGTAGCCCATTCTGTAAATGGACCAAATACTTCAAATACTTAGCCAGTCCTTTTTTTTTTTTGTCCCAGGCAGACTGAGGATCCTACTCTTTTCTGTGCACCATGCAGTCTGTGTGACCTCATGGTCCCATTCCAGGTAGGGAGAGGTACAGGGCTAACTGACCTGAAGGGGCAGTAGTAGGAAGAGAGCACAGTGACAATTATTTCTATTGAGGTTTCTTGTATGGAGAGTGTTGGATTGTAAACAGGCTCTTTGGGCCTTTCTCACATCAGGGAACCATTTAAGGGCCTCGTACAGTTCAGAATACTAAGGTCTACTGATCTTGAACACCTTCTAACAATGTGCCCTGTCTCCCACCTCTCATCAAGCCAAAGAGGATTTGAACCTTGGACTTATCTTGCTATTAAGAATGACTGTATATCATGGTATTATTTCAGTAAGGGATTTTGTTGTCTTACTTGAATTAGATCTACTTTACTCTCTCTGTATTGACAATCCATTAAACATTTGGGTTTGGTTTTTTTTTTCCTAGTGCTTCTATCCCATATGGCAGGATAGGAGTGAAGTTTTGGAGTTTAAACATACTTTATCTCTTTAATCTTGTTTGGTAAGCAACATCGCCAAGCTTGTGATGAGCTAACTTAAAACTGTATGGCTGGTAAGCTTATTACACAGCAATGAACAAATGTGGAGTATAAAAGTTGGTCTCAAATTGCAGAGCTGTACTGTCAAGAACCTCCATTTGCTATTTTCCAATAACCCAAGTCTCTGTGTTGAGGTATCTGTTCAGTTTGGATGCCATTGGTGGTGCAAAAGGCCTCAATCAACTTTAGAAAAAGGCTAGTGAAATGGGAGTTGGATTCATTGCATGGGCTTGGAAGGCTGAAACATTACATGGCAAGTCTTTCAGGATAAAAGAATACACAGGGATGGGTCTTTGCAGGCAATATCATGCCCTCATATGTCCTCTTCGAAGGCAAAGTCATAAAATCCTCACTGTTGTAAATATAGTTATTTGTAAGTATGCCTACTTTTCTAATTTCAGACATTTTACGGTTCAAACTTGTAGAACTGTCAAAAGTAGTGGAGATTTGAGGAAAAAAGAAAGAAATTTATTTCTAATCATACTCCCTTTTCAGATTTATATTTTATCATCTTTGCTTTTATTCATGTAGAAATACTAAATAATTCCTTGCATTCATTTAGGTAGCGATTCTACCTGAATTCTGGCTTAAACATATCAAGTAGCTTTTTAAAAGCAAGAATATTTGTAATTTCTGTATAAATCCTTGCAAAAGCAAACAGCACTTCAGAACAATGACTAGTCAACGCTTAGCTCTGACTCCCGAATAGTCCAAAACGTTTTATTACTGTTGGCTGTGTTGGGAGTTGCCAATGACCAGCAATTCTGACCCTGAAGAAGATCTGTTGAAACTTACCTGGTGTTCTGCTTGGACCTTTGCTGTTTGTGCCTCTAAGTGTTGATGAAGTGACCTACCAGCTTTGATAGATGTGTGCTATTTCTTCTTACAGCATGGCTGGCACAGCTGTAGATGCACCCCTTTTTTGTTGTTTATTTCCTGTCTTTTTCCTGCTTTTCTTTCTTATTTTTGTTTTTCACTTAGATTTCTTTCTCTTTGGTGCCTGACATCAAGCATCTGTCATTCCTTCTGACATTTTTCATACTCTCCTTCTCTTTTTATGCCTGTTCAGGGAAAATGCTGCACATTGCTCAGGGCATATGTCTGTGGGAGAGGCACAAGAGCAATACTTGAAAGTGAATTTGTATGTGGTTGTACTGGGAGCAATGCTCTAGGAGTCTGTGTTTGCTTTTTTGTTAGCAGCAGCAGTAGGTCTGAGGGTATAAATAGTGCTAGAAACCATGTCTCCCTTTTCATGGGACATTTCATGGTTTTGAAATTTTCTCCAATCTAAGGGGAGAGAAAAGATAACAGAACTTGTTCTGCAAAACTGGAATTCGGACCAAAAAAAATTTAAAATTTAACACTGTATTTTATTTCCTCATATCAATATGTTCAATTCCAAGTTTCTAAACATTCATTATTTATACATGTAAATCAGTAAAATACACAAAGCAATCAACTACTGCTCATGGAAGTGGAATAGGTACTGAATTTGACTGATAACTCAAATGAGTTGTTTTACCGTTATCCTTCCTTTAATTTCTTTTTGAACAAACTTTCAGCACTATTCAGAAGTTTAATTGAAAGTTGTAAGATGTGGTAGGACAAAGCATGAGGCTACTAGTTGAGATAAAGATAATTTTTCATGAAGGACAAGTAGGGATAAAGAGAGGACAACGTAGTGTTGCATGTCCAAACCTTGCTCTGAAGCTAAGAAGAGGTGAGGATACAACGCATTGTGCGTGGAAATACACAAAAGGCGTGACGGACACAAAATACACTGAGGAAGACTCTTTTTGAAAGTGCATTTCTTGACAGAAATACTCTAAAGACAAGAAATTGAAATAATGGAAGACTGAAAGAGGGTAGATTTAGGTTAGATGTAAGAAAGAAATTCTTCACTCTCAGGGTGGTGAGGCACTGGCACAGGTTGCCCAGAGAATCTGTGGCTGCCCCCTCCCTGGCAGTGTTCAAGGTCAGGTTGGTCGGGGCTTGGAGCAGCCTGGTCTAGTGGAAGGTGTCCTGGCCAACGACAGGGGGCGTAGAACTAGATAATCTTTAAGGTCCCTTCCAACACAAATGATTCTATGATTTTATGATTTTAATTTTCCTGGCAGTTGAAAAAGTAATGTTGGGACATGGACAAGGTTTCGCAGTTTCCTGTGACTGACAATGTTATCCCTGCATGTTTAAAATGTTAAGCCAGCCATCAGTTCAGATTTCACTGCGGCTAAGGAAGTATGGGCTAAGGAAGTCAGAAGATAATTGGTGTGAAAGTGGTGATGAGATGGTAGCATGCACTGTTCAAAGAAGAGGAAGAATCGAGAAAAGGAGAACAGGCATAACGGACATCAATAAAAAGATTGTCCAACTTTACAAGTCCAGGGAACTGGTAGGGTTTTTGGAAAGATAATATGATGAGTAAAGGATGGGAAAAGAACTGTGGAGTTCTGTGAAGATGGAGGCATAATAAGGTA